AAGACTGTATCCCAGAGTCACATTAGGTAGCAGATTGGAGTTCTTGTTGATCTCATCAATAGCAAAGGCCATGGTCATGGCATGCCTGAACCCTAGAGTGTCAAAGCTAACACACAAAATACTGTATCATTTTTAACCACTGAAGAGTAATATGGTTCGATATATATTACAATAATTAAGTAAATAAAAGTATTAAACTTAAACTAAACGGTCATGAAAAGCTACATTACTCCGGTTTTATAAGAATTTGTGCACAGTGCCATTTTCATTCTTACCAATCAATACTCTGAGTAGATGACAGTAATTGCACAGATCCATGCTGGCCGCTATACAGTATGTGTGTCAAACTTACCCTTTGCAGATGGGCTGTTGTGGCTCTGAAGTAAATGTCTGCTCAGGGAAAACAGAGGTGTAGTGGACCTCAAACAGCCCACCTAGAACCACATCACCAGGCTTGTGCACCTCATTGAGTTGAAACTTTCTCCGTAATTTACAAGATGATGATGATGAAAAAGAGGGGGATGCAATATATAACGAGGACGAAGAGAAAAATAGCCAGATAAGACAGACACACAAAAGGAAATAAGTGTCCAAAAAAGCTCCCATAGCTGCCCTCCTCCAAACTGTTTCTGTTCCTCATCCACTGTTGCTTAATTTTATATGCAGGGCTATGTCATCCACATTCCATGCTTTCCGTCACTGTTTAATCATTCACACCACCCATCAGGGCACAGGTTATGTGGGCAGGACATAATACACAAATAAATAAATAAAATGCTATGCCATATCACCAAATGTTTTAGCAAATGTAACCAATGAACCATATTACATATTTTGAAAATAATTTTTATATTCATCTTCTTTTGTTTTTGTATCGGTAAGTTAAAGCCCATCTTGCTTATTATTTAAATACATTTTAAAAATGTCTGGGGAATGAACTACGTAGCATTAATTGAGAATTTATTGTTTTTGTCTCAGGTGAGCATTATTTTTTCTTTCTCCCTTTTATGACCCTTATTTTAATTCTCTAAGTATCACATATCACATTCATTTTGTCAATAAAACTTTATGTAGTATGTACCATATTTTTTGTGGGGTAGTTCGACAATACCTTTTCTTAATCTTAAAGGCAAGGATTATACTGTATTGAATCAAGAAGAACACGACTCCAGGCTAAAACATAGCCAGGAGTTGTGTTCTTCTTGATTGGATTCTTGCATGTATGGTATTATCATGGCTACAGGGAAAATGAAGTCACTTAATGTTAAAAGTTTCAGTCACAAAGGGTAAAAAGTTTCACTGAAGAGGCTGATTTCCTCTGGCAGGTTCTTCCAGAGTTGTGGGGCCCAGACTCCAAAGGCTTGTTCTTCAATGGTTTTTAGCCTTAAGATAGGAATTATTATTTTGGTTTGGTTTGGTTTGGTTTCAGTGATAATCAGGGGGCAACCCCATATGTGCTTTAAAAGTAATCACATTTTTTAATCAATTCTAAAATGTGTAGGTAACCAATGTAGAGATGCTAGGCACCAGGGACCACTGGGACTTCACAGATGAATTTGATCATTTGGTATAATTTAAAATGAACTTTTATTATGAAACGTAACACCATTACGTTTCTGGTCACTTCCTGGACATTTTCCCCATGACAAGGCCCTCTTCTTTCCTCTTCACTCTTTTCTCCTCTCCGAACCTTTGTGCTATCCGCTCAGAGCAGACATGCCGACGACTGGATAAGAAAGGATTACAGCCAACACGCAAGTCTGCCTTTTCCTTAAGATCCCTGGTTAGCACACCATTAACAGAAGTAAACAAGTTCAGTTAGTGCCTGCAGCTACACACAAAGCCTCCCAGCTGACTTTACAGGTAACAACAAACCAAGTTAATGCAGAGATGTAAACTGAGCAAATTGGTTTCCTCCAACAGGTGGAACAGCCTGGCTTGTCACTAACCGGCGGATCTGGTGTGCGGCCACACTGCAAGTCTTTAGAAGATGTACAAGACAAGGATGGAGTGTCCCAAAGCTGTTCAGGGGACAGAGCATTAAGCATCCTTTTATATGGTGTAGCAATTGCAATTGTGTTTTTATCCATGGTGGGGAATTCTTAAGGTAAGGGCAAGCTGAAAGAGTTGTGCTCCTTGGCGTGTACAATGGTGGCTACAAGCGTTCTACTAATATTTTTTTTGGGAAGGGAAGGTTGTTGCAAAGTCGAGGAGCCATAACTGAAAATGCACAGTCTTCTTGGTTTTGAGTCTTAAGGAGTCTATTTGAAAAACCTGCTCAGTGAAAACTTTTGATATGAATTGGTGCGATACAAATAAAATTTAATTCCACAGAGGAGTGGTCAATCATATTATTTTGGATCTTTGCTTTGATGTCAATAGTCACTAATAATTAGTGAGAATATGGGGGGCTCAGTCTGAGGAAGGACTGGAAAGCGGGGTGCTTTGAGGTGCGTCGATTCTGTGAAGGACAGTTCCATGGATAGGATGAACCTTTTGTTTAACTTGGCTTGAACTTGCACTGTAGCTTTTCCATCCTTAAACAGTGATGTGCTTCAAGTAACCAGACAGCAGTGGAAAATCTTGTTCATTCAGCATATCAAATCTGCTGGATATCTTAGTACTGAGGAGAGTGGGAAAAGGATCTCTTATATTTTTATTGGGATTACACGCTCTAGTCCACTGCTCCTGCAGATGCGGCATGGAGCTGACAATTGCCTTTGGCCTTGCTCTAAGCTAGATCCACAGATCAATGGGCAGAGATGGAGAGGTGACACCTGTGCACGAAATAGTCGAGTCCAGCTCTGCTGCAGCTGTTGCTGCAGGCCCTCACAGATACGAGGGTGTCCATGAGCCTTTCTGCGTCCTTGATCTAATATAGGGGATATTCTTCCCTCCAGCTCCTTAACTTTAAGGCTGAGGCAGGTGCAGCTCTCACAGTCAGAAATGGTGAGTGGAAGCTGGTCTGGTTACTGGTGCCACAGAAAACACAACTATGGCCAGTATGAATTGTACAGGAAGTGAATAACACCAGTTAACAGCAGATGACAGACAGTGGAAGACAGACCGGCACGTACTCACGAGGGCTCCTGTCTAGAGCCTGCAGTGTTGTAAAAGGCAATGCATACACCAACAGCTGTCAGACAAGTTTCAGGTGAATGAAACATACCAACCAGGGCCCAAAACTGGGCCCACTTCCATTCCAATAGTACTGATCTTGTTCATGTTGATCCTTCACTGAAAAGGACAATGCCCCCTTGGATTTTTTTCAGGATAGTAGACAGAATCTGTTGGAAAGTAGATGCAGCAAATATGAACACTAAAAAAACAAACTAGTTCTGATGCTTCCCATGGATTTTTCTCTTACTTTGGGTAAGTTGGGGAATCTTGCTCAAAATTGAAGTAGTCCCTTTTGGGGAACCTGTTTGAACAAAGGCTACATTAAAAGTAGTTTAATTTCATCTAGTTTCAGTTAGTTTTAGTTGGGTGGGAAATGGGGTAAAGCCTGAGAAAGTCTCTAAAATCCAAGGGAATGTCATCAAGCAGAAAAATGGGCACTGATAAAGCATATTTTTCACACAAACATTTTTTTATTGCTTCCAGTTTCTTCTAAATGTATTCTTTACAGTACAAACAAAGTTAAAAAGCAGGTCAGATATCTGTTATATTGGTCATTTCAAGGGCGGTTTTGTACTAAATGAATGCAAAATATACATTGGGTCAGACTAGTTGATCATTTTAATCTAACTGTTACTTTTATGAGTTGGTGGGTCCTCGACCCAGGATTGCTTGCTTTGTATTTCTCTTTAGTACATGTGGTTTATTTCATCTTTTAGGTTGTCAGGTAGAAACTGAAGCAAAGCCTTTCAAAGTCTCACAAGGACTGTGATCCAGTAAAAAATGCATTAATAAAACATTATTCTAATTGTATTATTTACATTTTTTAATTCAAAGAGCTGGTTACTTGTGTTGTACATTTGCCATTTTAATGGCAGATCTGTCATGAATACATACAACATAAGTACTGATTCAGACTAGCTAATAATATTACAGATGATGCTACTTTTATAACTTGGGGGTGCTTCGACCCATGATTGCTTTCTTTGTGTTTCTCTCTGGTCTCAGCAGGATTATGTAACATTTTGGTCCAAACAGTGCCAACAAGAGCCCGAAACTGGAGGCCAGGATGGCAAATACCTCCACTGCATCTGCATATTTGCCTGGGGAGTTGACATAAGCAGGGACAAAGGCCACCCATACAGTACAGAAAATCAGCATGCTGAAAGT